ACAAGTTGAGAAAGTCTGGAATTCTAAAATCCAAAATACTCCAAATCCAAAATAGGCCACATGAGTGCCTGAGACAGTGACACTTTTGCCTTTTGATAGTTCCATATACACAAATAAATAAGCATTAAATTATTACAAACATTGTGCATAAAATGACCTTCAGGCTCTGTGTATGTGTGTAATATATAACCACTAATATATATATATATATATATATATATATATTAGTGGTTAATATATATTTCATATAATATATATGATATATATATATATATATATATATATATATATATATATATATATATATATAGGAAACATCAATGAATTACATGTTTAAACCAGAGTTCAAGTATTCCAAAATCTAAAAAAATTAAAAATACAGAACACCATATCCTAAAAATTTCAGTATAAGGGATATTCAGTCTGTGTGTGCGAAACACAACACTGTGTAGTATTAAGAAACATTGTGCTGCATTTTTCATTTCACTTGGATATGCCCAATGCTTTCCTAAAGAACCTTTTCTAAATGATCCTCACATACAGTCAAAGCAAGGACCTTCTTTTAAAATTTAAAAAGTGTTCTATTTTCAATACTTAGCCAGAGATCTCACTGCAAAGATAAACTGACCACGAAAACTATTGTTTGGAATAGAGATGATAATGGCAATTTCCAGAGGATTTGTAAATTCAGCTGGTAGTAATCAAAAACAGGCTTAGGCATCATCCTCATAGATACCTATTTCATCAGTTTTGGCAAACCCCTTGTGGTGTTATCTATATAATTTAAAAACATATCAGGGCAGACAGATTAAAAATAAATGCTCAAAGCACAAAGGTTTTAGAAGCAGATGTTCAAAAGCCAATATATTAACTGTTTTTTTTTCTGTAGCAACACTGAAAAAAATCTAAGAAACAACAGCTGAATAAGTAACTTCATATCCCTGTAGTCAAAACTTTGCAAAGCAAAATTTACTTGCTTAGAAAAAACAAGAAAAATGTTGAATTGCAGAAGACCAAAAGTTCTGAAGACCAAATTGGTAATAGTTTGCTCTTTTAGGAAGGGATGGGTGAGAGGTGATTTGTGCTATTATATGTACATAAAAGGAAAGCTTATTTGGTAAAAACGAAGCTAAAAGGTGATCCACCTTTCACAAATTGCAGAATTGGAAGGAACCACATGGAAAATCTACTACAACATATTTTGTTATGGAACGCTAAGGTATTCCTGAGCAGTGTTCTTCCAGCTTCTATTTAAGAAAACTTCAGTGAAGGAGACTCTACCACTTTCCAAGGAAGTTGATTCATCTGCTGAACATCTCTTAGGACCTCATCACATAAAGACTTTTTAGCATCCTAGGATGCTTCTGCTCCAGTTGAATGATGGAGCCCCATGTTATCCATCACATGACATAGCCTCACTTCTGACAGGGCTTCGCTGCCAGCCAGGCAGGGCGTGGGGTGCTAGGATTTCCTCGCCTAGCTGATTTGCCACAGAGGCTGGAGAATCAGCACGGGCAACCTCATCAATGTGATGAGGTCCTTACTGTCAAGAAGTATGTTCTTCAAATGTTATTTGGACCCAGTTCTTGAGATTTGATCCCAGTGCTTTGAATCCTATATTTTAGAATGGCAGAGAACAAGTTTGCTCTATCTCCTATCTGATAGACCCTAGGACCAGGGGTCCTCAAACTTATAAAGCCAAGGACTGATTCATAGTTCATAGTCCTCAGACTGTTGGGGGGATGAGTATAGTTTGGAAAAAAATGAACAAATTCCTATATACATGGCACAATAATATGTAGTGCAAAATAATATGAAAGAACAATTCAGTATTTAAAATGAGTAACAATGTTAACCAACATAAACTTAACAGTATTTCAATGGGAAGTGTGGACTGCTTTTGACTGATGAGATAGTCAAGTTAATTAGGATTGTTGTTGTAATGTGCCTTCCAGTCATTTCAGACTTAGGGCAACCTTAAGTCTAAAGTTTAGGATGGAGGCCATGTAAATGATTGTGGAGGCCACAACCAGCCCTTAGTTTGGGGACCCTTGCCCTAAACATTTAAAGATCGCCATCATATCCCCTCCTACTCCTACGTCAGAACAAGGTGGAATGAGAAAATTGAATTCCAGAATCTCACTTTTGGGAACCTTTCAAGCTAGGAGAGCATACAAGGTGGAATATTAAAGGGCCTCATGAGCTAGTTTTGTTTTTCCACCACCCCAATAATCCCTGATGGCCCTATGACCTAAACCTCTGCATGGGTTCTTATAAATATGTGGATATTGATACAAAACTCCTCCTCGTGAGGAAGGACTCCAAATTCTTATTCATTTAATGGAATTCTATTTGCATTATTGGAACACATCTACAGGTCCTTCAGATGTATTCTGCACAAAAGGCTAACGACTTAGCAGTCTCATGTTGTGGGTGGAGACAGGAATAGTCCACGAGACCCACAACCTCACCCCTGGAATGTTCTTTGAGTAGCTGATTGGGCTTTGTTATGAAACCACTCTTTTGTGTTTCCCCCTGAAGGGGACAGAGGGAGTGGGAGTTGTTTATCGATAGTCTTATACATGAAACACCCCCCTCTGCCATGATAATTACAGACCCTTTCCTAACCACAAGAGTGGTTACCTTCATCTAATAGCTATACTTTCCGTGATGGCTGCACAGTGGTAATTGTGTACAGGACAGGAGCCAGGTTTTAAATATGGACTTCATAAGAGTTCTGTCAGGGTTGGTTTAGGAGTGAATGGCTCTAATTTACATGCAATGAGGATACAATACCTGTCTATTTTTAAGGCTGAGGGAATGTAAGTCTTAAAGGCTCTTTTCAGTGTTAAAATGGCATAGTTTTATAATTCAATTCCATCTTAAGTTCAGGTAACGCATATCTCATTTGTTACCATGGATACGGGACATTATTTCCATTTGTTTGTTAGAGACCTCATACTGGGTATGAAATTAAACTGTAACATAGCTTTATGGCAAGAATTATCTGAAAGGAAAAAGTATAAGCACAGTGCCTGAACTGCCACTAAATTGAATGGATTTTTATTTCCAGGCAGGATCAAATGCAGAACTATTATTTCTATCCAAAAGATGCTGGTATGTAGAACTGAGAAAGATATCATCTGATTTTTTTATTTCCTCTGCCAGAGGAGAAGAGGGAAAAGAATCCAGAAATGGAACAGAGGATGAAGAAATTGTACTAGGAACTTGCAACCAAACTAGTTTTGCAATATTTACCTTGCTTTTTAAAAAAAGAAAACACATCCATTTTCTCTGATAGACTTCTATATATTTTGCATTTTCCCAGAAGATTAGTTCATTGCACAAGGAATAGGCAGTTCTTACTCAGCTGTTGAAAATATTTTCCCCAAGTACTTACACAGGAATTAAAATTGCAGACATACTGAAACATCTTCATCATTTTAATTGCAGGGAAATCACATTTTCCCTGTTCTTACATCTTACAACTAGGTAAGTCCAGTCGTTCCACTCCTTATCAACCCAGACATTGAAACTGACACAAATAATCTCTTGATTCAAATCCATTGGTTTATACTAGAAATACCAACAATGCCTAGCAATGTATATTTTAGCATTCTAATTTTGTTTTATTTCTATTCCAGTTTTTATCCAGCACAGGACCCAAGATGCTGTGTCCAGGACATCAGTAGCAGTTCATCGACCAGTGAAGATCCACAAGTTATCAGCTCTTGTTTCCTGGAGAGTTTCCAGGAAAGAAAGAAGGAATTGTAGTCTTTGGGCTACAATTCCTGATCCCTGATATACTGGAGAAAAACAATTATTTCATAGTTGACACAGCTCTTATTCCGTGTTCTTTTGTCCTATAAAGCCATGAAAACACACAGTTACATCATATGAAAACATACAGTTTCATCATATTGAGGCAAAGGCTGTTGCATATTCCTTTAGGATCCTTCAATAGAAAAGATACTTGCTGGAAATGACAACCTTCTTCAAGCCTTCTCTAGTAATGTTTATCTATGATCCTGTTGCTTACTGTTTCCTGTATGTATGTTCTGGTATGCAGCTTCCTTTACTCTAGGTTCCTGAGAAGTTATAAAAGGGCCTGGAGACCACATGATCACTACAAACTACTTCAGACATCAGATCACATGCTTGCTGTTTTGGTGTAAGAGAGGTCCTGGCCGGATGGCACAGATAATTATCTCAGACATATCTGAAACTGGACTGATAAGTTTTGTACCTGTGTATGCTGAACACATGAAGGTTGTGAGTAAACCAAATATGTTTTTTTTAATCAAAGTCTACTTCATTTTTGTCTCTTGAGTGCATGATATGAAACAAGTTGTTTTATGGGAGAGTACATATTTTTGGGCACTGAAAAACACTTCTGAAGCACTGCTGTTTTTTATGCACTGGCAAAATCTCTGTTTTTCTAACAGAGAAGAGACAACAGGCTATTCAGTCTAACAATCAAAACCATTGCCTAGCATAATTACATCTGGTTGTGTCCCATAAGAGAAGATTCTACTCTAAAGGGTTTTTGGCTCTTCTCTGAAAGGTCATGCTTTTCTTGAAAAGTCATGATCTCCAAAAAGTGTCTTCCAAAAATACTAGGGCAGCACAACTAGCAAGTAATGTCCACCAGGATTTCTTTGGATCACTCTCTTATAAGCCCTTAGCAGATTGGCCATCAATAAAGGTTTTATGGGAGCTACAGTACAAGACTTCAAATGGACTCTTCCCACTGTACTCACAACTGAACCGAACATCTACCACATGAAAGATTATAATTTAAAACTGTAGCACTAAACTATAACTCTTCTTCACCTATGGATATGAGGTCAATAAAACTCAACATGATCTCTTCTTTGTGTCTCTTCATCAATTCATAAACAGCAGAGGAAAAGGATAAAGGGAGCACACATGCACAACATCAACTTTAGTTTTAAATGGTCAAGATGTACAACACAGCAGTGCAATTTGGGCAGTAGTACCTGCTGCATCCCTTGTAATGTTTGTTGCAAGAACTGCAGCTGTTGGTCCTTGGTCAAGCTTTCTTCAGTTCGAAAAAGTTGGCCCTTTTCCTGCTTTAGGAGTTCCACCTCATTTCGGTATGCATCCAGTTGCCACCGGAGGCTGTCGTTTTCTTCTCTAAGTGCGTACGCTTGGGCAGCTAATGCTGAGAGAAGAAAAACAATGTGGTAATTAATATAAAGGGAAACACATGCATCAAATAACATGCTGGGTCAAACAGAACAAATAAGACATCTCTGTGTGGCAGCTGCTCCAATTATAAAAATATATATTAAATATGTGCTTCACTGGGGTCACTTTTAGTATGTGCCTTCCTTTATACAATAATAATAGACCAACCTTTTACAGACATTCCTTTGCTCAATACTCTAAGAAATCACCCAACAGAAACCAAGTTAGCACAACATAGCATAAAAGGGGCCAAAATACATTGTTACATAGGTTCTGTTCAGGCATAATAAAGTAATCACAATTGGAAGTAACCATAGTTTAGAACACAAATATAAACCCACAACATAAACCATGGCTTTTAATCTATTTGATGTTTTTCTCATCTTCCTTCTTTCCTACCTACCTACCTACCTATCACCTTTATATACTGAGTTTCTATCTAATCGTTCTGCCACCTCCCATAGTCAATTCAAGATATATTTAATACATGACTGAATGGAGCAAGAGCATTCATTATCCTAAATTACTATTAATACAAACCACACTTTGCAAAATTGCTTCAAAACAACCTTAAATATAATGACATGTCTGAATAGAGTGAGAGAGCTGTGGATGAAAAAAAAGATAAAGTTAACAAAGTACTACACAACAAAGGAAGCTTGTGGGTTAAGTAAAATAATTCATCTGGGGGGAAAAGTAATCCAAAGTGAAGGAAATTCTCTACTAAAGCTTGTGTACACCAGCTCAAAATCCCAAACTTTCCCCAAATGGATTGCTGGCTGTTTTTCATGACACACACCAACTTCCAGTGAGTACCACGGGTTTGTTCCACATTGAGCAAATTTGGGGGATACTCTGGGGTTTAGATCTGAACAGTGGGATTGGGTGTCATTTAGACTGATACATTATCCAGACTAGAAACTGGTTTCATCACCCTTTCCCCACTCTTATCAGTGGAAGAAAAGTAATGGATAGTGCCCACTCAGCCATGTAGTTGGTGCCACTGTTATTAAGTGGATACGGAACTTCTTTCGAACTCTGGACCATTGCAAGTGCCTCCTCATAATCCAGCAAAAATATGGGGGCAGTTTCCATTCCTTCTTGTTTATGGTGCCTTTCTGACATCAGCAGTGATCAAGTGCTTGAACTCCATGAGTTCCATGGCTAGCCGCCAGTAGTTGCAACACAGAGAATGTGATAAGTGAGTTGCCATAGTGGAGCACATGTGGTCTGAGGCTACCTGGACAATAGTCCCAAATTTGGCATGGATGTACTGAATCTAGAACTGCTCGGGGGCAGATTTACACCAGAAAAAATACAAAACAAAATAGATGGAAATTTGTTTTTATATTTTTTCCAAATGTTTAATATGCCAAGATAAATCAGATGTTTGTTTTATTTTACATCAGAGGTTTTAAAAGTATGGACAAAGAAATATCAGGGACATACTTAGAATAGGCCGATTGAAATAAACATGATTTAGGTTAGTCAAGTTAATTATTACCTCTTAAGTCTCATTGATTGCAGTGGATCTATTCTAAGTATGTCTTAGGCTGAACACAATTTAATTTCACAGGCTCTTGTTTGGGATGGCTGTCTTAAATTAAGAATCACAAGACCAAAAGACCTGCACAGTTCTTGTTCTGTCCCATCTCACTGTATGAGTGTCATATATGACAAATGCAGCTTGTGGTATGGCTCTGTCCAATGCACATGCATTAACATTTTCGTACCACATCATTCACATATCTATGTGAAGAAGAAGGCATCCCATCTTTGGTCCACCTCATAGAGAGTATGCACATATGTTACTGGCAGAATGGCTGAGCCCATATGGCCTCCTCTCTGTTCTGCAGTTTCAAGTTAGACTGACAACAGTACACAGTTCTGAGCAATTGTACTGCAGACATGCATGTACGGCCACAAATGTATTTTGAAACTCTACTGATTCTCAAAATACAGTGTGCTTTGTTAATTAGGGAGTAGCTGATTTGAAGAAACACATGTTCAAAGCACTCCTGTGTATATAGATTTAGTCGTATAGTTTTCTGAATAAACATTGAGTTATATGCCAACCATTGAGCTGCTAAACTCGCTAATCGAAAGGTCACAGATTCGAATCCGGGAAGCAGCGTGAGCTCCCRCTGTTAGTCCCAGCTTCTGCCAACCTAGCAGTTTGAAAACATGCAAATGTGAGTAGATCAATAAGTGCCACTCTAGCGGGAATGTAACGGCGCTCCATGMAGTCATGCTGGCCACATGACCTTGGAGGTGTCTATGGACAACRCTGGCTCTTCAGCTYAGAAATAGAGATGAGCACCAACCCCTAGAGTTGGACACGACTGGACTTAATGTCAGGRGAAAACCTTTACCTTTTACCTTAGTTATGTGCATATTCGAATCCGGGAATCTAATATTTACAGTATAACAGGACTCACATGCTTAGGAAATGCCATCTGCCCTTGTCACATTACCCTCTGTCCACTTGAAGCAGGGATGTTAGTTCAAGAAAGATACCCTCAAAACAGTACATTTTCCCTATGGATTTGTTGTCCCCCCATCCTGTCCTGTCCCATCATGCCCCCCCCCCTGCACCCCCGTCACCTTCAGGTTATGTTTAGACAGATAGAACAGAACAAAATGATATAAAATGCAAATGCTTGGAAAAATGTTGATGCTACAGAAGCATTATTGCATTAGTAGCATTGAAAGACACTTAAGTCATTTCCTTAGGAAGCTCCATTTGGCCTCTTTTCAATTTAGAATGGCAGTTTTATTATCATAACTGATAGCAGGTGTTTGCGGAGAAATCGATTAGTATGCAGGGATGGAAATTACATTTAGCAAATGAATTGCACTGTCTGCAGTGTAGACTGAAATTTGTGTGGCAAAATGCAGGAAGCCATAAAGCAACATTATTTAAATAAATTATTTGAGCATAAATATAGATGGGGAAGGAGAGTGTGTTACCTAGCATTTTAGGAATATTATTATAATCCTATGGGCTAATTTTCCTCTGGGTTCTTGCATTCGGCCAGAATAAGTTCTATCTGCCTGAACAAATATGTGATAGAATATATTCTAGGACTGTGATAAAATCTTATCACTCTGAAGTTGCTTTAATTAAATTCATAACCAGGACCTATTCTATGAGCATTTGAAATGAAGGACAAAATATTGATTTGCACTACTGATTATATAATTTTCATATTCAATGTTATTGAATCTTTAATTGCTGTTTGACATGAGCAATATAGATAAATTATGGATGGTACTAACTTCAAAAGGTGACCGAACATACTGGGGAACAAATCCATCTCTTCAGGTAAAACAGCAAGGTTAAATATTAGAATATTTGTTAATCAACTCTTCCACCAACTGACAAATTTGAAAAAGCCCCTTACAGTAGAACTGGAAGGCAGAAAAGGGTCATTAGAACCCAATGATCTAAGCAGGAGAAGTAGTGGATCCAGCTCCGGAGTGATGACCCCCCCCCCCCATGAAGGCCATAGGACAGACAGGCCACTCATTCACACAAAAGGTTGAATAAATGGATGGAACAGGCCACATGCAGCCCCAGAGCTGTTTTTTGGCTCTCTGTCCACCTCAAACCAAAAACTAGGAAGTATGGAGGTATTTTGTTCCCCCTTTACCCTTCCTGGGACTTTATTTAAAAAGGAATTGAACAAGAAGTGACTTTCAGCTCACTTTCTACCTCCTGGGGCCAATATAGTTTAGGGGAGTCCAAAATATAGCAAAACTGCACTGGGGGGGGGGGGATTGGGAGGAATGTGGGGTGTTTCATATGTGCCTGGAATGCAATAAATAGATGCACCAGTTCAAGGTTACGTGGGAGGGCAATTTGGTCCATAGCACACAGTAGTCCCATTCCCCCGTCCCCCCCTACACATTCAAACCACTTTCTGAGGTAGAAAAGGACATATGCTTTCTCTCTATCCCTAAAGGCCATTCTACTGTTCTACTTGACTTGGTTCAGCCAAGATATAAGCCAACAGTCTGAAGGAATCTCCACCTTTGACTGGACCTCTTTGATACCACTTTAACTGCTATGGTTTAATGTAATAGAATCATAGGAACTGTAGTTTAACACGGTGTTTAGCCTTCTCTGTTCAAGAGTGTCGATGTCTCACCAAATTACAACTCTCATGATTCCATAACATTGAGCCACTGCATTTAATGTGGAGTCTGACTATTACCAGGGGACTTTTACTTGGGGACTATTCTTTGTGAGCCCCTGGTGATGCAGCGGGTCAAACCGCTGAGCTGCTGAACTTGCTGACTGAAAGGTTGACAGCTCAAATCCAGGGAGCAGGGTGAGCTTCCGCTGTTAGCCCCAGCTTCTGCCAACTAGCAGTTTGAAAACATGCAAATGTGAGTAGATGAATACATACTGCCGGCCGCATGACCTTGAAGGCATCTACAGACAATGCTGGCTCTATGGCTTAGAAATGGAGATGAGCTCCACCCCCTAGAGTCAGACACAACTTGACTTAATGTCAAGGAGAAACCTTTATGTCATGTTTTATGATTTAATTGATAATTGTATGTTGTTGTTGTTGTTGTTACTATTACTTGAAACACAACAAGATGGGTCCACAGCAAACAAGTTCACTCTGCTGGCTGTTGTATTGGATCACACCACGGACACTTCCCAAGTGTCTAGGACTGTGTGATGTATCTGCAAATAATAGTGCAGATCCCAGTAGGGTGGCCTTTTGCAGCTGGCAGATGGTAATCTTGTCAGCGCCAATTGTGTTTAAGTGCAGGCCAAGGTCTTTAGGCAATGCACCCAGTGTGCCAATCACCAATGGGACCACCTTTACTGGTTTGTGCCAGAGTCTCTGCAGTTTGATCGTGTCAGCTTTTCCTGTTGTTTCTCTTCAATCCTTCTGTTGCCTGGGATTGCAACATCATCATCATCATCATTATTATTACTACTACTACTATTGGTTT